TTCCACATGGTAAAGCCAATAATCCTCAGAAATAGACGATCTCCTCTTACGAGTTGCATATGATCATTATTGGCTAGAATCTCATTATGGGATTGTGAATCATTAGTTGAGTGTTCCATGGTGTCTAATTGTTCGACAACTGGAACATTCTCAACTATACTTGGAATTAGGGGTAAAGATAAAGTGATCGGTACCCTTACTTCCTGAATGTTCACATCTTGTATTTTTTCACTCCCACTAGTTTTGCCATTCTCATAGAATCTAACATTTCCGGTTTCAACTATTCTCGTACTATGGTTAGGACAATAGATAATATATCCTTTGGACTTCTCTGGGTAGACAATAAAATAGACACTAATCGTTCTGAAGTCCAATTTCTTTTCATGTGGGTTGTAAATTCGTGCCTCAGCTGGACATCCCCAAACTTGAAGATGTTTTAAACTAGGTTTCCAACCTTTCCACAGTTCAAAAGGAGTCTTTGGAACTGCCTTACTAGGAACCCGATTTAAAATGTAAACAGCTGTGCGTAAGGCATATGTCCACAATGATTTTGGTAAGTCAGCATGACTCATCATTGATCTAACCATTTCCATATATGTATGATTTCGCCTTTCAGCCACACCATTTTGCCATGGAGAACCAGGCATTGTGTATTGGGCTACAATTCCAAGTTTTTGTAGAAGTCGTGAAAAAGGTCCAGGATATTGTCCTGTTTCATCATACCTTCCATAATATTCACCACCTCTATCTGACCTTATGATTTTCACTTTTCTATCTAATTGTCTTTCAACTTCAGTTATGAAAGTTTGGACAACTTCCACCGACTGAGATTTGTCATGCAATAAATAGAGATAACAATATCGTGAGAAATCATCGATAAAAGTGATAAAATATTTTTCACCACCAAAACTTGGAATGTCAAAAGGTCCACAAATATCTGTATGTATTATTTCAAGAAGCTGTGTACTTCTTGTGGCTCCTTTCTTTGTGTGTTTTGTTTGTTTTCCTTTAATACAATCCACACATACTTCATGATTGGTAACATTAATATCTGGAAGAATTCCATCTTTTACTAATCGTTTTATTCGTTCACTGGAAATGTGACCCAGCCTTTTATGCCACAAGTAATATGAATCACATTTTGATGAATCACATTTTGATTTGTCATTTGTACGCAGGGTGAGATGTGTCTCTGAAATTTGACTAGCAAGATTAAATCTATAAAGTCCATCAATTAAAATTCCAGAACCAATATGGCTAGAATTTAAAAATAAATTGAAACAACCATCTCCATGATTAACTTTAAAACCACAAACATCAAGCTTACTTACTGAAACTAAATTCCGGGAAATAGTTGGAACATAAAGAGTCTGAAATAAATCTAACTCAAATCCACTATCTAATTTGAGACGATAAGTGCCAATCGCTTCAACTGGTACTTTGTCACGATTTCCCATGAATAAGAAGTTTTCACTTGGGTTTATGGTTTGGGTCATAATGAATCCCTGCATAGAGTTTGAAACATGAACATTAGCACCAGAATCAATCCACCAAGTATGAGAAGGAACATAAGAAAAGTCTGTTTCGAAAAAGCTTACGGAACCCATTGGGTTACCTTTCTTTTCGAACCATTCCTTTCGTTTCCTACAATCTTTCTGAAAATGTCCAGATTTCTTGCAAAATTTGCACAAGTCATCCTTCTTTCTCTTTTTCTCATCTGGTTTATTGATGTCATTTGGCTTGGGCGGTGCTCTTTTATGGCTTAAGTTGTGCATGTTCCCAGCTTTAGATCCAGCTCCTTGGATAAGATGTGCAACCTTAATACCTTGTTGTTTCAACCTACTCTCCTCTTGGACCAATTTACTTGCCAATTCATTTACTGTCCACTTCTCCTTAATGGCATTGTAATGAATTTGAAAAGGTCCATACTGAGGAGGTAATGAATTTAGAATGAATTGAACGAGAAATGAATCATCCAACGTCATTTCTAAATTCCTTAGCCTTGCAGCAAGGTTCGTCATCTCAATACAATGATCATGCATCGAGCGTGTGTCATCAAATTTCATAGTTGTAAGATCTGCCATAAGTTTCCCTGCAAGGGATTTGTCTGCAGTCTTAAATCGTTCTTCTATTGCTTTTAAGTATTCTTTAGCAGTTGTTGGAACGGGTAGGGAGGTTTTGATGTTGCTAGCAATTGTCATACGTAAAAACATAACACTCAATCTGTCAGACTTCTCCCAAGCTTTAAAGAGAGTCTTTTCATCATCCGTACTTGTATTGGTAATAGAAGGTGGCTTGTCAATGGTAAGAGCCATATCCAAATCAAGTACTCCCAAGGTGAATTCAACATTCTCTTTCCATTCTGAGAAGTTAGTTCCCGTGAGAAGTGGAACAGATGAGACAGAAGATGACAAATGCTTTGGAAACATTGCTGCAATTATAGAGATATAATATATTTAAATGAGACATTTACAATACATGAACAACACATATAAAGTTTGAGAATATATGAGATAAAATTATAGTGTACCTGTGGGTTATCACTATATATATATTCTCAATAATATTGTTATAGCCGTAATTATTAGCTCAAAAAAAAATTGAGTAATATATAACCTTTAGACACATAAAAAAATCTGTGGATTTTCTTCGTTTTCATTATACATTACTCCTTTATTATTGTTAAGCCAAAAAAAACTATATTTATCATAATACATGTCTCTAATGTACATACAAAATCATGAAATGTATGTAAAAGACGTGTGGGTAAAAAAAAAAATTGTCAATAACAATTGAGCTTTGGAAAGATGTTTCTCCTAAATTGTATATATCGTATTTCAAGGATTGTCATGTTATTCATAACCTAAGCTCTGATACCACATGTAAACCTTGAATTTACATGAAACCCTAAGATCGATAGAACAACATGATAATCACATGAAATAGAAAAGAGATTAGAAGAATACCTCCTTCCATGGTGATTGAGAGGGAGCTTATGAAGAAGTAGCAATGTTGAATTTTGGGATTCTCTCTCCTAGTCTATAAGTCACTTGATATATGTGTTTCTTATGATATGCTGTTGTGATGGTCCAAAGCATACAATTTATAGGTGGAGAGAGGACCAAAATTCCTATTAAGTTTTATCTTTACACTTCATCTCAACCATCCATCATGGAAGAGTTACAATAGGAACATAACTCTTTAGAGTTATTAATCTTTGATAACTCCTTATATTTATAACCAATTGAATCAAATGTAACACTCCTATTCCTTTCATAACTCATGGGTTTCATAATAGATCATATTAAGGATGAGATAACTCTCTTGCACTAAAAGTTATCTTACAGTGACTAGATAACCTTTTCTTATCATGTGTGGGTTCGTTACCAATTCTCTTGGTTGATTTACCATGTTCTATAGTTTTTTTCCTAATTATAATGTATGCTAATTTTCAAACAATATACACTTTAATTTCCTTTCTTTTAAAGTGATTGTGGAATTTTTTTCCCAAATTTACATTATTACAAGAAAAATGTGCTCCGGCACTAATTAGAACAATCGCATAAGTAGCAATGCGGTAGCTAAAGGTTTTTGGAAACCAGAGAAAACTAGCCTGGTCCATGAAACCGTACCGTACCGACGGTTCAACCACGAAATACCAGTATTGAAGGCTAAATCGATAGGCGGTATTTAACAGTCTAACGGTTCAACTACGGTAAAATCACGGTTTTATCATAAAATATCATACCGCTGACTTTTCCGGTACGATACCCGGTACAGTTTCATGGACCATGGAAAAAAGTGATCTTTACAATACTCAACGATAATGGCTCGCAGAAAATCATTACTTCCTGTGACCGTCCATTCAAATCCAAAGGAATTGCCCTCCATCCACAAAAGCTATTAGTTTGGGCCGACAACAGAAATGTACTATCATGGCCAACAACTTCTATTTTTCAAAAGGTTATATCGATAATATGCCTTCTACTATGTCATTTTATCAAATATGTCCCTCTACTATTTTTTACATCAAACATGCCCTTTTATTTTGAGAAAATGATCAAACATGCCCTTCTGTTAAAATTATCATTGAAAAAATCATCAATCATGGCTAAACCGAGATTTAGACGACCCAACATCGGCAAATGGGAGGGAAATTTTTCAGTTTTGTCCCCTGTTTTATTTCCCGAATCTCGTTAAAGTGAAATTATAAGAATCATTTGGCTATACAAAAGAACCAAACAAAATTCTAAAGTGAAATTATTAGGGATATTTTAGACATTTGTGTCTCTCAAACCAAAGTTTGATCGTGGTTAACGGTTTTTGGATGAAAATTTGAACATAAGGGCATGTTTGATAATTTTTCCAAAGTACAAGTACATGTTTGATGTAAAAAATAGTAGAGGGTCACGTTTGATAAAACGACATAGTAGAGGGGCATATTATACCTATAACCCTTTTCAAAATCATTCAGAACGGTCATTGAAGGTGGGAAATTTTGAGATCCAAGGTTGAGTGTATAACTCTTAATTATGAATATATGTATAGGAATCACAATTTTGTCCAAATCTTTGGATTTTTTTCTTATTCAACTCGGTTGGGTTCGGCACGAAATCCAACTACAACATAAATGACTAAAATTTGATGGGTTTAATACTAATACTCATTTATTTAAATTAATTTGGTTGGGTTGAGTTTAAATCCATGGATTTGGATTTATACTTATGTTAAAATTACAATTTGGTATCTAAATTTAATAATTTTTCAAATAAACACCTAAAGTTAACATAAGTCCAACAACCAATGTAAGTTACATTATAGTACCTAAAATATGTTCGTTGGACACCTTAATGGCTAAACTTGCAAAAATTTTACTAATAGGTCTACAATTTTATTTTTATTTCAATAGTATCAAGAGAATGGACAAATCCATACCCAACTACTAGCAAAAAAAAAAATCCATACCCAACTAATACTCAATTAGAATATGAAAGACAGCGGTGATAGTGCACTGCGCGTCAAAAGACAGCGACCTCGGAGGCCACCTCCTCGATTTCAACGCTTCCGAGGGATGGAATTTCGAGCCGAACTACTTCGGAGGGACGTTGTTCTGGTGCAACGACGCGTTTCAAGATGGCCGCCTTTCGCTCGTGGCGTACAATCAGGAGAGCGATCTGACTCAGTTCCAGTACTGGGTTGTCGATGATAACGGGGTTTACGGGAGGCGAAGCAGCAGTAGCCGCATCTATGCACGTTTTGATGGGACTTTCAGGGACGAGGGTATACGTACGATAGCTCGAGAATGGGTGACTAGGATTATAATAGAGTCGTAAACTACATTCAATTTCCGTAAAGAATATTTCCACCCTCTATAAAACCTTGGGTTACGGAAAATTTTTTCATGAGATAAAACTATCACCACTTTAAAATCTAGGTTTAAGAAACTAAATCATACTTAGAAGTTTTCTTAGCAAGAATAATATATTTTTGGTGTGTCTTTTTCACCACAGCCGCTACCCTCATTTCTAGAGACATAGCCGAAGCACTACATTGCTTCGTGAAAATGTTTGGTGGCCAACTGCCAATTCCCAAACGAACTCATCATCCAAATCTAACCATCAATTTCATTTTATGAAGAGTTGCATTCCATCATGAACCAATGTACCACTTGGATCAAACAAAGTATGGACGGACAATTCAAAAATTCATCACGTGATGAAATGGAATGGGAAGTTTCCCAATTCAAAAGGAAACTTTGGATAATAATTATATTGGAAAGTAGGCTAATATATTAATTAACCTGACCCAATAATTAACCAATTTGATCCAACCTCAAATCGATATGACCTGATTTGTTCGGTTCAATCAAATTTTCAACATTCCTCCCTCATTTTAGTGTATTCAACAAATTCACTAAAATTACAACATTCTTCCAACAAAACTTAAGCATTAATGAAAATGACGTGACGATTGAATTTTCATCTTAGTATATTACACTTGACAAATATTCGAATACAAAGGGTGTCGGTAACGATTGAACCCATTGATTCCTATGTATATTCGAAGATAATATACACTTAGGTTTTCAAAACTTCTAAGCGCCTTGACACTATTACCCGTCATGAGTCCAACCCACCCGCGAACGCCCTTCAGGGGCAGGAGCTCGCTCATATAACACGCCACCCCGAGGCAGAGCGAGACTCCGAATTCCAAACGCATCCCGAGACATGGGTTGATCCAAACGCCAGCCTGAGGCTGGACAACCCGCCCGCGAAATGCTCTTCAGGGGCAGGAGCTCGCTCGTAACACGCCACCCCATGGCAGAGCGAGACTCCGAATTTCAAACGCATCCCGGGACATGGGTTGATCTAAACGCCCCCGAGCCTGGACAACCCGCTTGCGGAACGCTCTTCAAGTGCAGTAGCTCGCTCATAACACGCCACCCCGAGGCAGAGCGAGACTCCGAATTTTAAACGCTTCTCGGGAATGAGTTTATCCAAACGCCACCCCGAGGCTGGACAACCCGCCCGCGGAATGCCCTTCACGGGCAGGAGTTCGCTCATAACATGCCACCCCGGGGCAGAGCGAGACTCCGAATTTCAAACGCATCCCGGGACATGGGTTGGTCCAAACAGCACCCCGAGGCTGAACAACCCGCCAGCGGAATGACCTTCAGGGGCAGGAGCTCGCTCATAACACACCACCCTCGAGGCAGAGCGAGACTCCGACTTTTAAATGCATCACGGAACTTGGTTTGATCCAAACGTCACCCCGAGGCTGGACAACCTGCCTACGCAACGCCTTTCGGGGGCAGGAGCTCGCTCATAACACGCCACCCCAAGGCAGAGCGAGAATCCGACTTTTAAATGCATCACGGAACTTGGGTTGATCCTAATGCCATCCCCAGGCTGGACAACCCGCCCGTGGAATTCCCTTCAAGGGGATGAGCTCGCCATAACACGCCACTCCGAGGCAGAGCGAGACTCTGACTTTCAAACGCATCCTGGGACTTGCATTGATCCAAATGCCACCCCTAGGCTGGACAACTCACCCGCGGAACGCTCTTCAGAGAAAGAGAAAATATAGAGTATCGATGTGGAAGCAAAAGTAAGGCAAATAACGCGATATGCACCAAAGTGGAAGGAAATAAAACGCTCTGGGCGTAAATAAATCAATGTCTAAGAGAAAACAATACGATAATTAGCTGACTTTTCTTAATTTTCTAAATTAATATCTAAGTAGGATTTCATGTTATTTCATTTTAATTCAAATTTAGAAAAAACATGAATAATAAATTAATTGTGATGATTTTTTTTAATATTGTCACGGAGCAAACTAATTGTAATTAAATTAAGCACACAGTATGATAGGGATTTCAACCCATGACTTTGAATTTTGTTTGTGGGAACGTGTAAAACGATGGTGGTATTCAAGATAAGTATATTGCTAGCAAGACTAGAAATATACAAGTGTACGACGACGTTTAACCATTTCCTTACACGCTCCCATAATGAATGTCAACTCATATATTGTAATTTGTACAGATCCGCCATATAATATGCTTTAACACAACAGTTAATAATCAGAGTTGTGATCAGGAGCTAACACGTGATCTCCATGACAAACTAGCTGAGAGACCTTATATCATAAACAATCTGGTCGCGATAACTCGAATTGTTTCGAAAGAGAACCATATATGCATCTTAAACACTTCCTTATGTATGAGATTGAGTCTGTTGCAACGCTTCTTAGCCATTCTTTTTGTTTTCTTGTTATATATCCCTAAACGACAAAGCTGCCGAAAACAATCCTAAGAAACCGTAGGTCCAAGTAACACAAGACCAATAAGTAAGAAACCAAGAAACTTGCAGAGAGCCGTACGCACCATTTATTTACACACTATATAAACAGGATCGGCGCCAATCAGTACTACACCACAATAATTTATCACCATTCTTATAAATTTACCGCTAGTTCCTGAAAAGAAGGATATACAAAATGACAACGATCCGCAATGGGCTAGGACTAGGGCTAGCGGCGGTCGTTTTCGCGACGGTGCTGATACAAGTTTCGACGACGGCAGGTGATTATGTCACGATTCGTGTTAACAACAAGTTAAGCAGCAAAAAGACATTGATAGTGCATTGTCAATCCGGCGACGACGATCTCCACGCTCACGCGGTGGTCGCGGATTTTTACTTCGATTGGAGTTTCGGGTGGAGACGTGCGACGCGTTTTTGGTGTCGGCTGGCGTTTCAAGATAAGCGTCTTGGTTTCACAGCGTTCAACGGAGATGATGTATACAATTACAACGTATTCGTTGCGGACTTCGATGTGTACGATGATGGAGTTTATGGGACTCAAGTTGTATCTCAGCAACGACTTCATTTTGCTAAATGGCATTGATTGATTGATTGATTGATTGATTGCTAAATGGCATGGACATCTACTTCCCATACGATCTGTCCCGCCTTGCTCCGTTCTTGTTCCATTTTAGTTCAATTTCTTACAATATCAATACATATTTTTCCTATTTTGACTTTTCTTCAACTAGTTAGAGTCGATTTTTTCAATTGGTTAGACTCAATTACCAATTATATTATCACTATTTTCATTCATAAAGTGTTTTTCCCCTTCCTTTTATCGTAAAAAGTATAATTTTCGCGTATTTTTTTTTCAAATAACATGTAAGAGTGGGTCGACCCGCCCCGCCCCGTATCCGCGCGGATTTTACCCACCCCGACCCGTAATACTCTGGGGCGGGACATGGGTATTGAAGTACCCGCCTCGACCCATTACAATCAATACTGAGGATCACTGGTTTCAAATGTTTACCAACATGCTGTAAGGAACTTTGTGATACATTCTAACCTCGTATATTATATAACTAACGCTAGATTTTACATAAACGAATTGGGTCATTGTAAAATATTAGTAAAATTCATTTTTAATATTTTAATTTTTACATGTCTGCTTGTTTATTCTGAGTTACCAATTCCTAAACATAAATTTGTTATGTGAACTAACGGTTCTAAATGCCTATCCCTAACTAACGCAGTTGGTATTAGTAGGCCGGTCTTCACGATCAGCATAAACCGGTTGGGGCACCACTCGTATCAGACCACTTGCTTCATCGGATTAACAATTTAAACCGATTCGACAACCTTGAGTAACGACAGGTCTCGGTATCAATAAATTGTGAAGGGTATACAATTTTTGTTTGTCTTTGTATCATTCGGATGAATGAAAACGCAACAGGTTTTCATTAATGTCGTATGTAGGGTTTTGTCACATATATATACTGATCTATCTTTCTTCTGGACATAAATCCCAAAAACTAAACGATACGGCTTCCTCTCTGTGTTCTCAACTTCATTGTAGATCTATTGAACTCTTATACTCATTGTGACCGCGGAGTTTAAAGTTCAACTGTGAAATTCTCACTTCAAATCTTGTAATGTACAATCTCTCTCTCTGATCTCCCTCCATTTATGATTTATCGAGGCACAAAACCAAGTTGAATTCACCCGATTATATATAACCCACTCACTACGTATTTGGGTGGATGTGGGTCATTCTTTTCGTCATCGTTAAATTTGGGTGCATGGGTGATGATTGGGTGGTGAGTAGGGAGTAGCTCATTGACCCGCAAAATCACCGAATATATTATGTCATAATTAACATTCTACGTTAATAATACACTAATTTTTATACCTCAAAATTTTTATCGTGATTGATTCAATTAAATAAAAATATTTAATTTGTATAAATTTTACTTGAATTGCAACATAAATTATATGTCAGTTGTTTTAAGACATGATAACTATCTATAAAATATCTTCTGTTCGCAAATTAGATAACGGTTGTTGGATTATGCAATAAACTACATTTAATGACTATAAATTTTCTTAAAATTTTTAATATTGATATTCAATTAATTTTATACAAAATTTTACCATTCATAATTATGTAATTGTTTTAAAAAATAACTCACACAACTGTCAAATCCACACACTATCATCCATCACCTATTCCTAAGGTATATATCGTTTGCTTGTATGATTTGGGTGGTGGATTTGGCAATCAAATCTCAAGCATAATGGAATTGACACAAATCTATTGTTTGCTGAGAGAGACAAATCCATGGGGCCCACAGATTTAGACCCCCTTTTTTAGATCCAAATCCGTGAACCTCACAGATTTACAAATCTCACATTTCATTTGAGATTTGATAATAGAAGAAAAAAATGTGAGACAAATCCATCATAAATCCATAATAAAAATGAATTAAACAGACAACGTACTCTTATAAATTCATAATATAACAAATCTGTTATAAATTCAAAAAAATTTAAAACTCAAATATCTCATTTCTAAATCCAACAAGCAAACCGAGATATTGGCACTACAAAAAAGATGAGGTTTGGGGACGACAAAAGTCGTCCCTGGAAATCGAAAAAATCGTCCCTATAATTTGTGAGGACAACTTAATCGTCCCCAAATTGTGGCTCCCTATACTCTTGTCCTCTATTCTGTTGGGGACGACAAAAAGTTAAGTCGTCCCCATTATTAGGGACGACCGTCGTCCCCATTACTCGCAAGTTCTCGTCTCATTTTTTTCCATGAAAGACAACATGTTGTCCCCATATAGTCATGACTTTGGCGTCAAGAAGTCATCCCAAAACATTATTTTTAGGGACAAAATATTGTCCCCAATAATCCATTTCATGATAGTATTACAGTTGTTTGGGGATAATATATTGTCTCCTTTTGTTTTTATAGGGTCAATATGTCGTCCTCTTATATATCAAATTGGAGTCAATAGATTGTCCCCGCAAGTTGTTTTACGGACAACATGATGTCCCTTATACATGTTGCTAGGGATGAAAGATTGTTCCTTTATTGGTGGCTTGGGGGACGACAAATTTCTTTCTCCAACACATTTTTTCATACAATAATAATTAGGTAATTTTGTTGTAACACATGAATACTTAGGTCCAATTAATAGGTTTGAAGATAGTTTCTTGTGACCAGATTATGCAAACATCCAATTTAAGAAGAGCTACTGAATAAACCGAACAAAAATTCAGGCTGAGCGAATTCGATACCAAATTGAAGTGGTGCATAATTGGATTCATTATAATAAACATACAATAATTAATAGCTTGTACCTATCATATACATTAAAATACAACAAGAAATAGAATAAACCACCACCCGTGTTGTGGCTGCATTGTGTTGTCATTCATTGTTATTCTGCCGCGACGCGATCACCTTCTCAATCCTCGTATCCCCCTAAACACTGCCACTATTCCTAGCCACCGGAGATACCGCTCAAACGTAACATGGCCACAGCCCACAGCAGTGTCTGCAACGTTGCCACCGACCTGTTGTGAAAAAAAAAATACCACCGATTGCAATGTCGTTGTTGATTGGAGAAGAAAACAAAAAGACAATGTACAAGAAAGATAAATCTAAAATCAATAATGAATTTATGACCGAAAACTAGCAAAAATGTAACTGATCTAAATCCCATCATCGATCACCGGCCTTTACCGAAGATGAGAAAGAAGTATTGCTAGACAAGGGAGAGGGAAGTGCCGCCGCTAAACGAAAAAGATAGAGAATCAAAAGAAGGGAAAGAAGATATTAGGCCGAGAGAAGGAGAAGAGTGGATTATTAAGCTAGGGTTTACTTGGTACTTAAAGTTGAATGGACGTTTGAGATTAAGATGTATATAAATGAATGGTTGAGATTAAATGGAGAGTTCTGGATCTCCGTTGTTAATTTGTTTTATAGGTATTAACCCTTTTTGCGTGTTCTTCTATTGTTCGTCAAATCCCAGGTTTGGAAATATATTAAATTATTAATAGTTTTTCTTTTGCCAAATGCAAAGGAAATATATTAATAATTTTATATTCTGTTTTGTTTAAATTTTACTACTATTTTAATTAAGGGCGTGTCCAATTAAAATAGTTTCTTAATTTATACTTAAATAATTTTACATATATAGTTTTGGGAGTTGAGGGTCTAGCCTACCCTCACATTAGTGTTGTTCCACCAAAGGTTATGAAGTGCCCCCACAATTCAAGGCAAGTCATTGGATGATTTATTAGTCCAATTGTTAGGTACATTTTATGCGTCCCTATAATCCATTTTACAATAAAAATGTGGGGACAATATATTGACCCCTCTTATACAGTCAACAAGTTGTATAGTGTTAACTTGAAGTCCACAAATCGTTCCTAGAATTTCATTTGAGGACAACAATTGGTTATTTATACTTCATCTATATGATATTTATATATGGCCAGTTGTCCTTATTTTGTGGAGTGTCAGATGACGAATTGTCATCTATGTAACTTTTTGTTATGACCAATGATCCAATTATTTGTGTTTACGGAGATGAGGAATTGTCCCCTTTAACTTAGGGGATGACCAATTGTCCCTTATCGTTTATTTTTCGAGACGACTAATTGTGCTCTACGCAACTTGTAGGGTCCGGACGACCAATTATCGTAGCCTTTAGCTTTCGAGTTAATGGTTACCTATGTTTTGCCACAACTATATGTCCATTAAGTAGTGTTTTAGGGATGATAAATCGAGACCTATCTAGCTTGTAGGAACAAATAGTCTAGTTTGTTCGCAATTTGAGCACAATTTCCCCTTAACCTCTTCGACCAAACAATAGAAGGTAGCAACCTCTTTTTTAATTTTAACTTGGCCGTATTCTTCCTTTTTCATTTTTATAATGACTCCTTGGCCAATATTGCTAGAATTTTCTCAAGGTAGCAACATCTTGGTTAGACTCTTCTTTGGAATATTTTTTTTAAACAAATTAAATGAAATACCCTACAAAATAACTACTAATGATTACACTTTACAAAATTAGTAATGGCAAACAATGAAAAAGAAAATTAGTGGTTTCCATGTATTAGCTTGTGGATTCCTAGGTGGAAAGAGAAAAAAATTAAAAGAAAATAACTGAAATGATATTAGTAATGAATTCAATGGTCAATCTGAAGGATACACAAAGTAACAAAAAAAAGTGACGAATAAAGAAAAACATTGAAAGAATATGCATTAATAAATTCCACGATGAAATTTCACAAATAGTCTAGAACTAAAAAGTCTAATAAATACTTCTTTTGTTTTTGAAAAAAGTCTAATAAATCCAGTTCCCTAAAGTAATTTTCTATTTTGCCCAGAAAATAGTTTCACTACGCCGGCTAAATATAAAACATTGGGTGCTGCGCTAGTTCCCAACTTGTTTTAGGGGACAACTAAAAAAAGTTTAAAATTAACTTAAAATGGTGTTCTTATTTTACGGGGACAACTTTACATATTTGTCCCTTATATCACTTAAACTCATATTTTCTAAGACAAATTATATGAGCGTCCCCTAA